GAAATCACCCCCCAGGGGGGATGGTCACGCCGCAATCCCTTCTCCATTCTCCTCTCAGGATCCTGGGCACGCACGCACATACACCTGGCATGAGTTTTAAGCCACCGGGTCCGGGACGTGAACCACGGTCGACTACGTGGGAGTCCAGCAACATAGCCATTACGCTAACTGCTGGTTCCCATGGGTACAGTTTTTTAATACAGGGCCTGGCATAGAGTAGGTACTCATTCCAGGCCTGTCAGATAAAAGATGTATGGGCAGCCAATGGTCTAGCACAGGAGACAGACATTGACAGCACTGGTTCAGTGTGATGAGTTACAGTGTTCTGGGAGCAGGAGGGAGAGAGTTTGTTTATGGCTTAAATGGGTGGAAGGGTGAAGTTGAAAAGGTTTTGTTTTGTGGGTAAGGAAGTCTGTGTTTCACACATGTGGAAATGGTGTAAGGACAATCTATAGTAAAGGAATTCCACAAGCAATAACATAGAGGTAGGAAAGCAGAGGGTATATATTGACAACAGTCATTCTGCTTGTCTGTAACAGAGATAGCATGAAATCAAGGAAGACAGGACAGGCATCATTCATTCACTCATTTGAAAATATTAAATGATACTGGCTGGGCCAGCCCTGGGGCCTAGTTCTTAAGGAAGTCAGATCCCACATGGCTAACCACATGGTTCGAATCCTGGCCCTGGTAGCTTGAGAAACATGCCTTCTATATGTGTATTCATGCCCAAAGCTCAATGAAACGGAGAAATGGAGAAGGGACTGCAGTGTGACCAAGCTCCACTGGAGGGTGATTCTTTTCCCTTTCTCTGTCTCTTTCTAGTGAATGTACATGCCCTCTGGCAAAAAAAAAGAAAAGAATGCTAACATTTATTAAGTACCTACTATGTGCCAAGCACTATTCTAAACACTTCGTATATATCAATCTATCTAATCTTCACAACCACCTCATAAGGGAGAGATGCTCTTATCATGTCCACTTTGTATATGTGGAAATTGAGGCAAAAAACATATAGTAATTGGACCAATATCACACAGCTTCTAGGTTGGGAATGAAGAGTCTGTCTCTACACCTGTGGTCATGACCACTAGGTCTACTGCAATTTACAGCTGATGATCCAGACTCTTGGACCTTTTGTTCAGTCCTCTTTACTGCTCTGGGCTTTAATTCTAGAGCTTTCAGTTCTTTGAATATCCACTTAGGCTGGGCTTTTGAAGGAAAGATGTATTAGAGATATCCAGTGTGATGCCACCCATCTCTCAAATACTATAGCCAGCCCATTTTGAAATCCTGCAAATGTTGGAACCAGCAGATGGTGTGGTGGTTAAGGTGCTGGACTCCCACATGCCTGGACCTGGTGACTTGCTCTCTCTCTTTCTCTCTCTTTTCTCTGTCTTCTCTGATGAGTGCATGTGCCCTGTAGCAAGTTTAAAATAATAATAATGATAAATAAAATTAAATAATTCTAACAAAAACTAGAAATCCTGCAAATGTTCTCTACAATCTCTTCAAATCATTCCTCAGTTATCTATTCTCCATTGCAACTTCTTTAATACATGTCAATGTGATTTCTTCCACCTTCTGCCACTTCTTTCTTGTTCCCTTCCAATCCCTTCTCCATACTGACCACCAGAGGTGTTTTTCTAAAAATCTGACCATATTCTTCTCTTGCTTAAACCTCTTCACGTTTTAATGTTATCTGGACTCTAGAACAGTGACCTCTAAGGTGAGATGCAAGAGGATCCATTGGGTGAAGGATGGATGTCTATTTTTTAACCTCAGAAAATAAGCATCACAGACATTAATTTTCAATATGCAAACTGACAATACCTGTACAAGAGGACTTCAAAAAGTTCTTAGAAAAATGAAAGTACATGTCTATTTTGGTGCAAAAATATTTGAAATGCATGCATGGCTTTTTAATAATATCTATCTTCCACAACCTTTGTGAAGACCTTTTGGTTAAACTCTATAAATAAATATACAGCAACTGGAGGTTCATGCTAAATTGTACTGTTAGGGATGTGTAGTTCAAACTTCTAAGATTACTGGTCTACAGAGCAGAGTTGAAGATTCTTGACATGGTATTCAATGCCTTCCACATGGTGACCTCTATGCTGTCCCCTCTTGCCCACATTTATTTGATTTCTCCAGCTATACCAAATGACATGTAGTTCCCTTGTTTTGCTTTGCTCTCTTATCACTGGTACTTTGCTAATGCTGCTCTTTGGATTGGAATCCCCTCCTTCACCCCCTTCTTCTGGCATTCTATCATCCTCTAGACTTGAGTATCCTTTCATTCATTCATTTTATATATTTTTTTTCCTTTTTTTCTTGGAGAGGTTTTTTGCTAAAGGGCGTGTGTGCTCACCAGAAAGACAGAGACAGACAGAGAGATAGGAAACGAGAAATCACCCCCCAGGGGGGATGGCCACGCCACAATCCCTTCTCCTCCATTCTCCTCTTGGGATCTTGGGCACGCACTCACACGCGCCTGGCGTGAGTTTTAAGCCACCAGGTCTGGGACGCAAACCGCGGTCAACTATGTGGGAGTCCAGTGACATAGCCATTACACTAACTGCTGGTCTCGTCATTCTTTTATATTTTTAATGCTAGACGGCACATGTACACATACAAATGAGAAAAGAGAGAAATAAAGTACCCCTCAACAGGACCTGTTCATGCTGCAGTCCTTTGTCCAATCCTCCATCCTGACAGGATCTTGGGCACGTGCATGCACACCTGGCATATTTTTCAAGCCAACAGAGCTGGAACTTGAACCCTGTTCAGCCATGTGGGATCTGGCTTCTTCTGAACAGTGCTTAACCAATGTACTACAGGTACAAACGATTTCATTCATTCTTTCAACAAATATTGAGTTCTTACTGTGTGTGCTAGACACCTCTGGGTGTTAGAGAGCGAAAAATAAACAAACCAGACACAAAATTCGTAACTTTCTGGAACTTTCATTCTAGTTAAAAAACGTTTTTAAAAATTAGTAAATTAAAGGACCAGCAGTTAGCATAATGGCTATGTCACTGGACTCCCATGTATTAGACTGTGGTTCACATCCTGTACCCAGTGGCTTAAAACTCACGCCAGGCACGTGTGCATGCCCCAAGATCCCAAGAGGAGAATGAAGGAACTGTGGTGTGGCCATCCCCCCTGGGAGGTGCTTTCCCGCTTTCTGTATTTCTGTCTCTCTCTGTCTGGCAAGCGCACGTGCCCTATAGCAAAAACCTCTCCAAAAAAAATAGTAAATTAAATAGAATGTTAGTTCTAAGAGCTAAGGTAAAAACATATAAAGCAGGACAAGGGACATGCTGGAGTCAGGGGCTAGTATGGAAAAGGGTTGAAATATTATTCAACAGAATGGCAAGGGTACAGACCATCGAGGTGATACTTGAGTAAAGATATGAACAAGGCTTTAGCTGTGTAGATACCTAAGGGAAGGGCATCCCAGGCAGAGAGAACATCCTAAAGCAGGGAAGACCCTAACACAGGAGCAGTCCTTTTATATTTGAGGGACAAGAAGATAAGTATAAAGGAGTGATATAAATAAGTGGGACAAAGAAAAATTGAATAGATGGAGGCAATGCAGGATCAAATTATGTAAAGCATTGTAGGCTATTGGAAGGATTCCAGGTTTTACTTTGAGAGCCTTCAGAAGAATCTAAGCAAAGGACTGACATATGTGACTTAGGTTTTAACAGAATTACTTGAACATCTATGTTGGGAATATACTAGGAGGGAGCAAAACTGGAAGCAGGGAGACCCAGCAGGAGGCTTTTGGAATATTTCAGAAAGATGATGGTGGCTCAAGCCTGATGGTAGCTATGGAGGTGAAGAGGAGTGATCATATTTTTAAGGTGGTGTCAACAGCATTTGCTGATGAATTGAGTGTGGGGTGAGAAAGGAGAAACATAAAGGCTGTCACTGAAATTTTTAGATAAAGCAACTGGAATGGGGATCAACTAAGTTGGGTAAGGTTGAAAGTAGGGCAGGTTTGGTGGAGGGCAGGGTCAAGAGTAGCACAGTTATGCTCATGTCGAGTTAAAGATGCAAATTAACACTCAGGTAGAGATGCAGAAAATCCAATGGATACACAAGTCTGGGGATCAAGAAAGAGGTCTTGGCTACAGATCAGTTTCAGAATCATCAGCAAATAGATGATATTTAAAGCCACAAGAATAGATGAGATGACCAAGGACATGAACATTGAAAAGGCCATGGACAGAGCCACAACACACACTTGAAACACTTCCTTACAGCTGACTCAGCTTCTCTGGGTTCCCACAATCTGCACGCATGACCTCTTTCAGGTGCCCTAATCATGACAGTGTGGTTACTGTCAGTATCATCTTCCTCATCAGGCTAAGAGCTTCCAAGTAGTTAAATTCATTTTTCAGTCTTAAGCACATCGTGTACGTGAGAAGTGGTCCAGGCCAGGACAGTGTGGCTCCAAACTTTTGTCAAAGGAGTGCGTCCCAATCTTTTATTTTTATTTTATATCCCAGCACCCAGAGACAAATGGTAACAATCAGGGTACACATTGAAACAGACGCTACTTCTGACTCTCAGGCACCTGGAAGGGTTCAGAGTCACTATCTTGGCACATCTGTAATGCGACTCAGAGATTTGAAAGAGCTAGTCTAATCAATTCTTTCTCTCCCCTACCCCACCACCTTCAGAGAAGCTGTTGGTAGCCTGGACTGAAGTGGGGCTGCCCCTCCAGGATGTATCTGTGGCTGCCTGCAACTTCTGTCACCGTCCTGTGCACTTCGAGCTCATGAGTGAGTGGGAACGTTCTTACTTTGGGAATATGGGACCCCAATACGTCACCACCTATGCTTAAGAAGCAGCTGCCTTGGATCCCTACCCAACATACATGTCACTTGGAGCTGGGTTTCCTTCTATCTTCTGCTTTGTTGTGTACTTCTAGCTAACTTGAGTCTGAAAATAAAGAGCAAACTACAGCATGTGTAGGTGTTTTTGGACAAAGAACAGACAACTGCACAGAACCTAACTCCCTCAGACATGTGGCAGACCTTTAAGGGAAAAAAAAAAAGATCACTTGGTCTAATCACCCTATTTTACTCACAAGACAAAGGAGATACTACACAGTGATTTGCCCAACAGCATAGGACACTTGGCAGAATTATTTGAAATGGTTCTTTCCCAACGCTTTAATACAAGTTCAGGAATTGACTCTTCACTAGTAGATCTGGAAACGTGGGCCCCAGGAAGCCCCTGAAGCCAGGAGTTAAGAGTCAGCCATGGACCAGCAGGTGGTGTGGTGGTTAAGGTGCTGGATTCCCACATGGACAACTGTAGTTCGAGTTCCAGACCTGGCAGCTTGAAAATCACAAATAAATAGATAAATATATAATATATAAACTGCCTGGAGGGAAGGTGTGGCTCACCAAAGTTGAGGGACTATTTTCCAGAAGGAGAATGGATGACCTCAATCCATTATCCTCATTCCCTATTAACAGCATCTTAGGAAATACTTAGCAGCCCCATTTTCCAAGTTGAAAGGAGCTTTGAATATAACAAGCAATATGTGTAAGGCAATGCTCCTGACCTTTCCAGGTCACAACACACAGAAAACATTTCCGTGGCACACTTTGATTTAATGAGGCAATCTTTCTTGAGACTTGTGTGATCCCAGGCCCTGTCTGGCAACTCTGAGGGCTGCAGGACCCATTTTCTTTCCACCCTGCAACTATCTGTGGCAGCTGTGGGACACAGTTAGAGTGTCCAACACAACTAATTGGACAGCTCTAGTTTAAGGCTACATATCACTACTCCTCCCTCCTCCCTTCTCCTGGAGAGTTATGTATTATCAGGCTGCAGGCAGTCACCAAACCCAGTATTGAGATAATTTCTCTGACTCAGCTTTGTGGAACACATTCCAAATGTCCATTCAACATGGTGCACTGAAACAAAAACACAAACTTTATTTACACACAAGTACACTTCCCAACAAGTACAGAGGGCTTTAAAAAATTACAACTTCTTCAGGCATGTGGTTCCTGTATACAAGGCAGAAAATGGGATGGGGGAATGGGCAATAGCATTGCGGCATGAGAAACTAACAAGGAGGAGCCAGGCAGGAAGAGAAAGAGGGGGAAGGGGAAAGGGAGGAAGAGAAAGAAAGGTGGCCTTGGAGAAGGAGGAGGCAGTATTGGCAGTTTAAAAGGAGAGATGTTGGCCTCAGATCATGTGCTTGTGCTTGCCATGCCAGGTACTTCCAGGCCTTGATTGACTTAGCTGGGCCTATCCCACAGGAAGAAGTTGCAGCGAGACAAAGGATCACTGGGAGGACCTTGGGGCCTGGCACACACATAGAAGCGGCGACCTAGGTTGGGCCCTGGCTTTTTCACAGTCCGCATTACACATGGCTCTCTGTGGCCTCCACAGAGGGGTGTGGGCAAGGGCCCACTCAGCACAGACTTCCAGAACAAGGTCCGTATCTCTTTTTCATCTTTGGCCCCTGAAACCCTGGCCTGTTCCTCTACCACTTTAGCTACTGTCTCTTCTGAAGTCTTTGGGGTTATGAGGGCACCCATCAGTGGCAGACTAGGTAGTTCCAAGTCAGGAGACACTTGGGGACAGCTGGAGGAATGACGGAAGTAGCTTGTCAGGTTTTTCTGACCTCTGCTGGAGCCAACCTGACTTGGCCGAGGCCTGGTTGAACGTATACAGGCTTTATTGGGGCGTGTCTGTACCCGGGTTTGATTGCTGGGCTGCACTGTTGACTTCTCTAACATAGGAGATTGTTTGAGATGAACTAAGAAGGGAAAGATCTTGAGCTGTGTACCTGCAAACTCAGGGAGAAAGCGGGTACACAAAGATGGGCACTGTTTTGCAGGCACACAAGACACATTCAAGACTGCGCCCACTGGGCAATGATCAGAGCCCATCACCTCAGGCAGCAAGAAAGATGCCTGGAAGGTGTCTCTGACCAGGGTCCTGTCCCCCAGGACATAGTCAATCCGGGAGCCGTAGTTGAGATGGCGGGCGCCACTGACTACTGACCAGCAGGTGAAGGCCCCCTCCTGCTCTGGTTGGAAGCAGCGGTAGGTATCAACGAAGGATCCTATGTGAGAATCAGCCTGGCATGACAGGTTACTGAGCAAACGGTCCATCCACTTGCGTCCTGGGTCCTCTTCAAAGCATTCCTGAGAAGGGGAGGAAGATGAAGAGAGAGGCAGAAGTAGGTGTCTAAAACTGGAAGGAATTTAAGACTAATTGTGTCATTTTACAAACAAAATATGGTTGTCCCAAGAGGACTACTGCTGAAGGTCACACAGTCCAGAACTGGCAGAGCTAGGATTCTATTCCCATCCTCCCTGAATTAAAAGCCCATCCTTGTTTTGCCCTCTACATCAGGCTACATTTATCTTACATTGGTCTATAAATGCCAAATATGAAAGTCTACTGTCTGCCTAATCAAAGCAATTGCTCAAATTGCTTTTCAAAAGAATGGAAAACCAAAAAAAGTGGTTGCTCTTAAGGAGTAAGGCTAGCCTTAAAAAGTTTATTGGCTTTCTTCTTTAAACTCTCTGATGCTATTTGGTTTATCTAATGTGTGTCAAAGCCCCCAATGACTTTCCCCACCTCCTGGGCTGAGGAACAGCAGGGATCCATGTGTGTGACTACTTTTCCTTTACCTTTGATCCCCAATCCACCCATCTATCTAATCCACCCACCCATTCATTCAATGCAACAAAAGTTCATGGAAGACTGATTATGTACAAAGCAAGATGCTAAGAAAAAAATAGGAAGCTGATCTCATCTTGAGGACCAAAGGAGCTTCCTTTTGGGAAGTGATCTGGAGCTAAGCAGCAGTAACCCAGATAGAGGGTGTTCCAAGTTGCAAGAATGGCCTCTTTGACAGGCCTACAAAGGAAAAGTACAGTATATCCAAAAGACTTGAAGAGAGACCAGAATGAGGACTAGAACACCAATGGGAGACAACTTCCATTGTCCATATAAGTAAGAAATGATGGCTACTTGGACTTAGAGCAGTGCCAGAGAAGACAGAAAAAAATAAAATTAAGAGATAATTTGGGGACTAGCAGGTGGTATGGTGGTTAAGGAACTAGACTCCCACATGACCAATTGTGGTCTGCGTCTCAGACTTGGCAGCTTGAAAATCACACTGGGCACATGTGCATGTGTGACAAAAATCCCGAGGAGAACAAGGAGAAGGGACTGAGGTGTGGCCATCCCCCTGGGAGGTGATTTGTCACTTTACCTCTCACTGTCTCTGTCTGTCTCTGACAAACACATGGGCTCTATGGCAAAAACCTAAAAATAAGTAAAAGATCATTTGGAGCTAGTCTCAACAGTACTCACTAATTGAATGTGGGAAGAGGAGGTAAAGAAAAAGAACAATACAAGCATGATTCCCAGGCTTCTTATTGGCTAACCAAGGGGATTGTGATGCTATTTAGAGAGATAAGACTAGTAAGAGCTTGTCTGACGGGAAGTAGACATGTTCTGACATGTTCTGCTATTTTACTGGGTCATTAGAAAAGTCATGACTCATTTTTGCATAGGAAAATATATCATGACTTTTCTGACAACCCAACAGAAAGATTATGTTTGGTATCTGAGTTGCTACTATTCATTCTCTTTTCCTCAAAGGGAGGATAAAAGGGGTGCACTAGAGAGTAGAGAGTTCTAGGATCACTCTGACCTAAGCAGAGCAGGCATACAGGTCTATATAGGGGGGGGTCTTCAAAAAGTTCATGGAAAAAATATATTATGAAAAAAACATAAATGGACTTGAAATTTTTTTTGCATCAAAATAAATTCACACTTTAATTCCATTTTACCATGAACTTTTTGAAGTTCCTTCATAAAATACTATCACAGGAAGTTAGAAGAACAGACTGAGTGGAATGTCTGATGAGGAGTGAGATAGGGAGGCACTGAAGGCTCATACTTTGTAGTGTTCATCTCCCTCCTCACCACAGCACCACCACCACTCTCATTTCCACCAATGTTCTCAGCCTGCAGCCACATCAATATTTATGTGTCTCTTCTGCAAACCAATCAAGGAATCTTCCCATGGTCCATTCTTTGAGACACACCCAATGCTGAATTAGCCTATGCTAGCTTAAGTTCCTGATATCTACCCTCCATGAGGCGAGCATGGATTCTAGGGCAGAGGTTCTCAAGCCTGGCTGCATAATAGTCATCCTGGGGACTTTAAAAATATACCATTAACCTGGCTGGACTCCCAGGAAATTTATTTTACTACTCTGGAGTGATGCTAATATATTAACATTTTTGTTGTAATATGTAGTCAGGGGTGAGGAGCACTGACCTAGAGGGCCTTAAGTTTGAGAGTCACATAAGAAAAAAAGAGAGAAAGGGCTCAGCCTCAGATCAGCTCATAACCTGGCGGTTAAGGCAGCTGGATCTCACATGACTGACCACATGGTTCAAGTCCTAGACTCCGTGACTTGAAAAACACTCATGGCATGTGTGTGCATGCCCAAAATCCTGAAAGGAGAGAGAAATGGAGAACAGAATGCACCATGACCAGGTCCCATAGGGGGAGCTTTCTCATTTGCCGTCTCTTGTCTCTCTCTAGCAAGTGTGCATGCCCTCTGGCAAATTTCAAAAGGGGGGATAGCGTCTGTAACATAGCTGATAGTGTAGCATATGGGACCACAGAGTGGGAAGCCACATGTCCACTGTTCAAGTCCCTGGCTCAGTTGGCCTGAAAACATGCTGGGCACACGCTCGCATTGTGCCCAGAATGCTAGTAGGCTGTAAAAATAGAAAGGGGATCATGGTATGACCAAACCCTATGGAAGATTCTTCCCTCCTTCTCCCTTACCTTCATGTGCACATGCACCCTATCATGAATTTAAAAAAAAAAAAACAACAAAAAAAAACAAAGATAGAGGAAGAAGATGTCTACCATCCATTTGGGGGCACAATGAGAAAAGACAGAATAATAGCTTTTGCAATGAGCAGAGAGGAGCCAGCCTTCCAGCATGGACAGAGTGGATACAGGTACACAGAATGGAAATAGAAACATAGTAAAGACTAGATAGAAGCCTGAATGCCAAGCCTTAGTGTTTTCTTTGTGTCACAAAGGTAAAGGGAGGAAGATACTGAAGGCTCATGAGCAAGTAACAGTGTATTAGGGGAAATATGATCAAGGCAGTGTCCATTTGATTCATCTTTTAAGATTTAGCCATTTTCAGCTGCCTGTCCTGATGTCTAGGCTTCCTAGTAATCCCATTTTTGGGGCTCCTCTAGTTTTCTGAGCTACCATCTATGCCTCAGCCCTGAAGACACTACTCTATACATGGCCAGCCATATGTCCATAACCCACTTCCATGTTGAGAGCTCCAAAGGCCCAAGAGCTGAATTTGACTTGTATCCAAGTCTCTAGCACATAGATCAGGGCTAGACCAATGGCAGGGTTAATATTTATTAAAAAAGAGCCAATTCTCAGTACTTTAAGAATAATATTTTAAACCTAACTCTGCTTTTCCATAAAGGTAGTTGCCCCTGGACTAAAAACTCAGCATTGGTTATCTAGATAAAGAGAACCAGAGGGACAGTAGATGACATGGATATTAAGATAGCTGGATCCCACATGGCTGATTATATGTTTCGAGTCCTGGACCCAATGACTTGAAAAAAACATTGGGTATATGTCCGTGCATATCCAAAATCCCTAGAGAAGAATAAAGAAAATAGGACCATGGAATGGCCATCCTCACAAGGGGTGATTTCTCACTTTCCCTTTCTCTGTCTCTGGCAAGCAAACATGTCCTATAACAAAAACCAAATGTAACTAACTAAATAAGTGCAATTGGTAAAAAAAAAAGAAAGAAACCATGGTCAACAGTGAGACCAGGAGCCTAGGGAAAGCCTTACCAAAGTGGCTGCGTTCCAGTGGTCAATGGGGCGGTGGGCTGTATTGAGGTCACCCAGGATGATCACATGACTGAAAAACACAACATAGGGTTGCCACTGGACATTTAAGAAAAGGAAGCAGTATTCCTGACCCATAGATTTTTTCCCAGGCCCAAGAGCTCATATAGGCCACCTCCCACCTCTCCAATATGACCACAATGTGCTACCTTTCATGCCTGACCAACTCAAGTCTACTCTCCAAAGGTAACACTGGCCCATTTGTCATAACTGCCTTACTTAATGGCATCTTCCCCACCTTTGGAGGCTAAAGTCAGATACCAATTCCTCTACAATGTACTCGCTTGATTACACTAATTCACCCTCACTTTCCTGCCCCTCCATAAAACAAGACTTTCATTTGTTCTCAGGCACTTCACTAGCCTCATCTGGTTTCATCCTAAAATTCTGTGAGAGGGACCAGCAGTTGGAGCAATGGCTATGTCGCTGGATTCCCATGTAGTCGACTGTGGTTCGAGTCCCAGACCCGGTGGCTTAAACTCACACCGAGGCATGTGTGTGCGTGCCCAAGATCCTGAGAGAATGGAGAAGAAATTGCAGTGCAGCTTTCTGTCTCTCTGTCTCTATCTTTCTGGCAAGCACATGTGCACTATAGCAAAAACCTCACCAAAAAAAAAAAAATTATTCTGTGAGGTAGATTCATACACTCATTTGGAAGAAATGAAAATAGAGGCAGGACTTAACCTTGGGACTCACAATGAGTAAAAGGAGCCAGGATAAATGCTCAGAGTACCAATCCCATGATTATGTTACTCTGTCTAGTGCTCACAGCTCTTACAGAGCAGAGCCTATACAGCGTATACTGGTGTCTGCAACTAGGCTGTGAGGGAGCTCAAACACAAATATTCCATACCCCTTCCTATGGAGCTTGACAGAGGGCTGGATTCCTAGGCCAAGCTTAAGGAAGCCTTGCTGCCCAATCCTATAGTACCTGCCAGCAGCCAGAAGGGCTTCTGCTCGGATCTGCAGCAAATGATAGAAGCGCATTTTAAAGGCCAGCCGCTCAGGCTTCCCAGGGTCCGCGTGGGGGCAATACACATTAACTAAAGTCAAGATCTTCTCTTTACCTTCCCATGTGCTAGGGAGAAGAAACCCCCCCCCAAAAAAAGGGGTCAGTTTTAAGTCTCTTCTCCCCTCCCCATACCACCTGGCTTCCACTTAATAGTTGTCTGTGAGATGGAAGAGAAGAAAGGGGTTAGACAAGAGAAGAAGAAAGAGAAGAGAAGAAAGAGAAGAAAGGGGTATGCCACTAATGAGCTGGCATACACAGGACTCAGGGACTGACTACTGCTGAGGCAAGGAAAAGGGCATCTAGGGTGACATCAAAGTAAACCAGATAATAGTGCTGCCATTCCTGGGATGGGATACCCAGAAACAGAACCATTTGGGACAATGAGTTCAGCACTAGCTAAGTTGCTTTTGAGGTATATGTGGCAATAAGAGAGGTAAACCCCCAGGCCGAACCCCTCCCTCAGACAGACAGACACACATACACACACACACACACACACACACACACACACACACACACAGTATAGGGAGGGCTAGAAGGGTCCTCAACACTCACAGGGCACCTGAAAGGGAACATGATCTGTCAGGGTCATATAGCGAGCAGCCAAGCCAGGACTAGAGTCCAAGGAAGAGAAGGATGGGAACTCTTCCACAGTGAATGCACATTTATAAGATGAGTCTTGGAATGTCCACATTTGCAGCATAGAGCCCACAGTGCTGTATCATACGGTAGTTCTAGCACTATGAGTTCCATACTGTGAGTGTAGACATTCCAAGGCTCATCTTTATTACCTGTTGATGATATCATGTACAGTATTCTCAATTGGACTGGTCTGAGGTGTATTTCATGTTGGGTAAATTCTCTTTGCAAGCCAATTGATTCATAGCAATTGAATGTATAAAATAATAACAATAATAATAAATAAAAATTTTTAAAAAGAACCTACAGTGTTCAGCACAGAGCGATTTGCATGATTACCGGATCTTGTGTTGTGTGAGGAGGGCACGGCCCTCACTATCCAAAGCACGGAGCTCCTCTTGGGTGAAGGCATCCATGTTTCCATAGCAACCTACATCCCCATTCTGAGTGGCAAGCAATCCACTCAAGCCTTCTTCAGCAGCCATTGGGGTAGCACTGTCCTTACAGAAGGTGGCTACACCTGGAAACAAACAGGGTACCCTGAATAGGCCTAGCAGGCAACAGCCCATTCCACACAGCCTATCCCACACTAAAGGTCTGGAGACAGATCACCTGAGTCATCTTCATGAAGTACTGTTCTTTCTGTAATGTATTAACTCTCCCAACTCAAGGGCCACATATAGCTCCCTAGAGATGGCAGCTCTACAAAAAACTGGCAGTCTCAGCTTTTTCATCTAAAATCACCATCAAATAATTACCAACGAATACTCAAAGTGTTTTATATGGATGGTAAGTGCTCCAAAAGTATTAGTTATTATTATTATCACATGGATTCATACATTTAATCTTTACAACAGCCCTAGGAGGTAGGTGTGATCCTCATTTGCTAGCTGAGGAACTTTAGGCACCAAGAGGTAAAAATATCTTGTCAGAAGGTACACAACTAGGAAGTGAACTAGTATTCCAATCCAGGCTGCCTGGCTCCAGAGCTCATATAACTAACCACTCACTATTGTTACCAATGGGGTAATTTTATACATAAAATTTATACTTCTCATAACTTCATATTTTGGGGCTTTAATTTGATGGACTACAGTTCTAATTCCTTATTACCTTCTCATCAAATATTGAAAATATTTCTCCTTACCTGCCTCCATTAGTAATTTAAAGTCTTCAGAAGGCCCCATTTACCTGAATAACCACTACGGTTGCGGCTAAAACTGAAATAGGAGTTATAGCCCTCAACAATAGCCAGAGGCTCTGTCAGCACATCCCCTGGAAAAAAAAGGGTAAGATTCAGTCACAGGTAAAACTAGTATCAGGTACAAAGTTGTAAGCAAATTTCCTGCACACATCAGAGCCAGAGTTGGGAGGGAAAATGAAGTATATGTGATTAGAAGAGTTAGAAAAGTGGTAAAAAAAAAATCATAGAGGGAAGTGATATCAGAATTGGAAGGTTGGGGAGGGGTTAGGAGAATTAGGTGAGAAGGGGTGAATCAGAGCTAAGACTGGGTCTAAGTGATGGGAGAGAGCTAGTGGTGGAAAATGGGGATATGGAAAAGGGAACTAGGAATCTGAGCTGGGATGAGAGTAAGAGAGAGCTGGGGTGAGAGTAAGAGAGAGGAAACAAGGGAACTGGGGACAAAGGGTGAAGGAAGGGGGAGTTTAAGAGGGAGTGAGAGAGAGAAAAAATGAAGAGGTCAAAGCTTGGGGTGAGAAATGAGGAGGAAATTAGGTCTCTGAGCTGAAGAAAGACAGCGGTAGATAAGAGTCATTGGGGACCTTAGATGCAGATGCAGAAAAGAACAAATTATAGAGTCCGAACTGGGGGCAAAGATGCAGGGTAAGTAGAAGATCTGAATAGTAGGTAGGGATGAAGCACTGGGGGGGAGGTTTGACAGGGGGGTAGGGGGATG